TTATTTGCTAAGTTTTATTGAAATTGATTACCGGAAAGTGCTCGAAACCGGGTTCATCCCCAAGTTTGCCACGCTTAGAGGTGGAATATTTTCTTCTAATTGAAATGGGAACACTTCTGAGGTTATACTCTTTTCAACTAAAAATGAATCATCAGAGTCGGTCAAATAAGATAGAGAGTTATCGCGTAACAACATAAAAAAAGAAAAAACATACAGTCGAATTGAAAACCTTTTTTTGAAGTCGGTTAAAAAATGACAAACCATGAGAAAACTAAATACACACAAAGGAAAATCTTGGGAAAACGATATAGATTGTGACTTTTTTATGAGATTGCTATTTCACACGTTTTGATACGTCTCTGACACAAACGGATGGCACGACTTTACAAGCATCAGCATTTCGTTGCTCCAATTAGTTTTATAATTCTGAAAATAATTGTTAATTAAATTTTTTATTGAATTGATATTCAATTATTTTTTGTGAAATTACTCCATTAGTTTGTTATAATTATTAATACAAAGATCGAACACTCAGAAATGTCATACTAAAAAGTCGTTGAAAGACCAAGTACAAAGACACGACGCAAGCACATAGAAAAATTCATGAGGTCCGTTGGTTCGTTCCGTGGCTTAGTTGGTATAGCGTCTGTCATCTTTACACATTACATTACATCTTTGTATTAATAATTATAATAATTGTTAAGATAATTATTGTGATCATTGATAATTATCACTTTGAACCCTGCTGGATTTATCCTACAGTCTCTCACTCTATGATATTCGTCAACGGGAACAACAGGACACTCGGCTCAATTCAGAAAGTATTCTTTAGCTGTCCGTCGCTATGTAGGCTGTCGATAAGGCAACGACGCGTGAGCATAAGCATCAATTGAATTAAGACCGGTAAGGTTATGTCAGCGGACATACAACTGGGTGACGGTCGTAATCGGGTGTCAGGGATTACGATTCTAGGGCTTCCTGCGTCACCTGGCCTTACGCTACTTGGCTTATGAACTGAGATGTTAGTACTCTGAACATTAATACTCTTGGATGAATTAAGGGAGGACCTGGAAGGTTGAGTAATAATAGACAGTAAAATATAATCTACGAACCGTGGTTACTTAGAATAGGATTAAGTTTTGAATTAAAAAAAAAGACGAAATTTGGGGAAGAAGACTTGGTTTATTGTACAACAGCTTACAATACAAGGGATTCGTCTCGTTGGATGCAAGCGCGGCGCAGAGTCCGCGATAAGTCCCGGTGGGTGCGAATCTTACAAAAAGACAGTCACTCAGAGGTGTGTTACTAATGGGGATAACCGTAGAAATGCAATCGTTGAATCGATCGTGTTAATTTTATGATATTGTTACTTTTTTCTTTGTAGGTAATCTTCCGGTTTTAGCCGTACATTTTTTCCATCTTTTTTAATATTTCATTTCTTTTTTCTTTTGCTAATTCTCTTCCGCAAGCATCTTTCTTTTTGTCGTCTCTTCCAATTCTTGTTTGTATGGTGAGGAAGTAATGACTGTGGATTTTGCGAGGTTTTCGTGTTGCTGGGAAGGGCTTAAGGTACTTGTTGGGGACTAAAACGAGGTATGAAGTACCCTCATCTTGCCTTTTTAAGCCGAATTTAATTTAAATAGATACTAATAACAACAATATACGATATGTCAACGAATAAGCGCTTACCTGTTGGCATAATAATTGGCACTTAACACTAACTTTAAATCAAATTCGAAATGGTATTACTGGTCCAAGGGACATGTAGTAAGTAAAACTAAAATTCATTAGCAAATTGTAAAAAAACAGTTTTTTCTTTCGAAAACAGACAAAATAAGTTGTTTCAAGACTCGGTCATTCCTGTTACTAATAGCTGTCATGGCGGTACGACGACGTCTGGTGGTAAAACGATTGTGATTGGTCAATTTGTTTATAATTTAAAACCGAGTGCCCGTCTTGCCCGTCACTCCGTATTGCCCCCCTTTCCCCTGACAGTAGATAGCATACAGGTTATTTTGGGGAACAAAAAATAAAAATAAGTAACTTGGGGCAAGATGATTATGGTTTTGGCGTACGAGATGATCCGTGGGGATCATCTTGTACTGTATACATTGTTAGCGGACTATTTTTTATAATTTGTTTGTTTTTCTGAGTACCGAAACGAATACGAATAACTTAGTAGAAGACTGGATTTCGTTGACATGGTCGATCTCGATGACCCCCTGGATCATCTTACCCATATCTTTAGGATCCTTATATATAACAGTAGTTTATGTGACTGTTACATAAGGAAAGGCATTACAATACGAGTGAAGGTTTATGATTAAAATATCTCGCGAGCGTTTCAATGCCTAATTATGTACAGTTACATACACTGCTTTATCTACACACAAATTATAAGCTCTCTGCGATGTGTTCAGGAACCGCATGTTACGACTTGCGAAATGGCGGTAAATAAAAACTTTAGTCACGCATGTCACACAACAGTAGGTACTTTTTATTAGATTCATGGACAAACTAGAGTCGGCCCCAACTATCATACCGTTATCATAACGTGTAAAATTGTCAAAATTGTTTGCTATTGACCATTGACTTACAATTATATGGACGTCGGGTCCGCGCTAAAAAGTGTCCGCACTTGTAAGGCGCTAAAATCGTATACAGAGCGCCAAACTCCGCTTTAGTCTTCATTTGTTCGACTGACAGCGCGATACTGCGATGACATTACAATTTAAATTTCGAATAGGTTGACTTGGGACATTTTTTTCGTGGTTTTTGTATTAGACCCGTCGTCAATTTATTTGTAAGTCAATGCTATTGTCATTTCATTTTGAATATATCTTCATTTCGAGTGATATTAGAATTGAGGTCGAATCAAATTGTTTTGTTTTTCAGAGATGTTCGAAATTTGAGTGTAATAATAACAACATCGAATTCGATGTTAATACGAAGCTATAATAACATTCTCACAGATAAGAAATTTGTTCTAGCAAAACAGTTTATCTTTATGCTGGTCGTAATTTGCGGTTTTTGAACACATCATAGAGGGTTTATGATTATGTTCGTAGATAAAGTCAATTTTTGGTATATTTATCGTGTTTTGTCAAAAGTCATGGAACAAAAGTTGTTGTTTATGATGTCAGTAATCTAGTCTTGCAGGGTTTCTAGAATTTTAACACATTCGCGCGAGAAATGTGCTTTTACCGGTTGCTTTGCTTTTGGAGCTTTGGCGGATATTTTTTTCATACATTAATGCAAACGTTTATAAACGTTTCTTCTAGAGGTTATTAAATGAATGAATAACTAATAATGATACTAACGTCAATAAACGTCGACGCTGCGCTTGTATGCCGTATGGTCATTGGTATGTGTGAAATACTGCGTGTCGTTACAGATTCAATATTTTGATACAACGTAGAGCAATGACGTCGCTTTTAAGATTTTGTTGGGTCAAAAAGTGTTCTCTTACGTTCTCTGATGAAATAAAATAAATTAAACGTAATAGTACGTTGTTCTACATCACTTATGCGTCAAAAATTACCCAGTATAGTACAGTCCCGGACTCATTTTATCATTCAGTAGTAGTAGAGCTTGAAAGATTTATGAAAGAGCTTGTCCAGTGAAAAAACTGCCACGTTATCTAATTCTGCTGCCAAGCGATAATGTGAGCATTACTGTGTTTCGGTTTTGGAGGGTAAGGGTGCTGGTGAAATTACAGGCACGTGGGACTTGTCAACTTTTGTCTCAGGGTGAGGGCGCAGTGGCAGTGCCTCTTAGATCTTTGCAATGGCACTGCTATGGGCAGGCGTGTCGCTTAACATCAGGCGCACGATTAGCCCGCCCTGTCATTTGGTATCATAAAAATATAATTCGGACCACTTTGCATTTCTAATATTAAATGCCCTAAAAAATGTTTGATGGATCTAAAACTATTATATACTAAACATTATGTTCATATCCTTGTCGAAATTTTTAATTTGTAAAACCGAGTAATTTTTGTATTCTAGACCTTAAAATTAAAAATACTAGGTGCCTCGAATATACATATGTATATGTTCGGATGTATACCTACAAGGGTCATAAATACTCCATCAAGTTTACATCTCCGTCAAGGCACAGATTACTTAATAGTTACTACGTAACAGATACACCACTCACACAAAATCGAAAACACTTACACTATAATAGCCTTCTAAATCTTACTAATGAAACCAGGCGTTCACTACAAGGAAATAGGAACCTACACACGCGTTCAGAGAGCTGAAAATAATGTTGCCCGCCGTGAGCAGTCGCGCGGAACCGAATGCTGGCTTTGTACAAGGATTGTAATGTAAATGAAAGACTTGTCTGAGCGCTTGCACTGTCGGCGATATAGTCAGCGGCAGCGTCATTACTGGTCACTTGAAAAAACCAATTGATTTTAAGAGAAAGAAAATGCTTAATGCTTAAACAAATATAGGAAATATTTGTTGTAGATTTCATAATAAACGCTTGCTATTGATGGACGATATCTACAAAAACATGTAAGTGACTAAGAAATACTAACAAAAATGTGACAAACAGTCACACCAATTCCTTGGGATCAAACGAGGAAATTCACTGTACTATGAGTACCCAGAATAACAAAACCGATTTCGAACAGCTCAGTTCCCGTGTTAGTTCTATCGGATATCGAACTCAGGATCCACTCACCCAGCGCCTACAGATCAAAACGTTCAAACGGCCATCAAGGTCTCAAGTATAACCGCAAGAAGTTTGGGTGTCTCACTTTGAATTTCCTACTACTCTACCAACCGTTCATTTTGGCGCTGACCGTACTTCTCCGAATAAAAATTGTTTGAATCAGTTCATTGACCTACCAAAATCAGGCGTACCAAGTGTAACCGAGACTGAAACCGATTTAAATCAAAAGATTCGAGAGATCATCGTTGCAGCTTAACTTTGTTTGTACCACATGATCTTTTTTTGAAATCAATCAGGACAACAATGTTACATTACAGATTTACATCAGTACGTCCGAGGGGACGGGCGCTGCTCCAGAATACAAACGGGGTGAACCACCACCATGGCCGAAAAAACGGACGTGGAGTGCGTGAGTACCTACCTATTCGTTAATAATACACACTATGAAGCAATTTTTATTTTCCTCTAGATATCCAGGTAGTTAGACCACCTATAGCAGAGAACAAAAAAGTAAGAGAATGGACACTCTCCGCCTCTACCTAGAGTTAGATACCATACCACGCTCCGCACACTGACGGTCACATTGACTGAACGACATCAAGGCGGTCGGTGAGCCGTTTTCGCATCTTAAAGGCTTTGAAGAACATAGTTTTCATTTATTCATCACGAAACTTATACGTTAATATATAATATCATTGTACGTTACTATTTATAATGGCCGTGAATTGTGCTGGGTACGGCTGTTTATTGTCATCTAAACGGGATAAAGAGAGGAGTTTCTTTCGTTTCCCGAAAGATGAAACGAAGATGACGAAAACTTATGTCTAAGACTCATTTCGATAATGTTTTCTTCGTTTATCTAGTGCAGAGTGATGTACAATACAGATTTATTATGTCAACATAATGAGACGCCATAACTTCGCGAGTTAGTGGACAAAGGTTCTCGAATTTTTAATTTGTATACCCGTTAAATATTACGTAGTGAATATACCTAATTATTAACTAGGTAACGATAAACTTGGACACGCAATTTCAAATACCTTGGTTACCTTAACCACTGTCCAAAATACAATCTTTTAAGTGTTGTTAATATATTTTTTAAATAAATCTTCAATACTATTCTAGTTACTGAATTAATGGAAAATATAATATTATATCGATATAAATAAATACCTAACGAAAAAAAATTAGAGAAAAATTTGCAAAGTCTGCTGGTTTATTCCGTAGCTCTCCCAGCGTCGGACACTGTATGCTGAAGGCACTGGTGCAAATCCAGCCGGATCGAAGGGATTTTTCTTTGTGTTCGATCGTTGTATTACCTTACTTCCTTAAGAGGTACCTACATAAAGTACCTACTATAAATAATTGTTAATTTCATATCAAGGGTAACCCCGTCCTTGAAGGCCGAAAGAAATTGGAGCTACCTGAGTTGCCGAAATCACTTACATTCGAGGAGAAAAAGTACCTTCTGGCCGTAGAGAGAGGGGACATGGGCAATGTCAAGAGGTAAGAGAACTACCATCGTGTACTGAATTTTTTTTATTATTTTTTTTACTTTTAACAGTTATTCTATTGAAGAAGAAGCCGTGGCAGTCTAATGGTTTGACTTACTGTCTCTCAAGCAGAGGTTGTAGGTTTGAATACGTCGACTCATCCGAAGAACAGAGTCCGATGGGATTATATGGCGAAAAGAGAATAAGTACGTTACGAGAACAATTTCGTTATTCAAACTAAGTCCTATGTAAAGGTGTTTTGGGAATTTATATATCTTATTTCGTTTCGGAAATATAAAATCGAACAAAGGTCGATTTGATATCCACAGCGAAGAAGAACGAACGAAATGTACTATGTCCTGAGAACAAGTAGTCTTCCACATAGAACTTTGTTCTACGGTTGAGTCGACATGCTCGCACGTTTGAGTTTTTCGGAATTTATGTGCAACATTTAATTTGCTTACAGCTTTTCGGTGAAGGAAAACACCGTGCTGAAACTAGCACGTGGAAGAAGATTCATAAACCTTGGTAAACGTGAGAAAACTAAGGCTGAAACCCTAGCCTGAGGGGTGACCCGTATCCAGTAGAGGGACATATAAATGTGTTGATGATGATTATTCTATTGCCAAACCGGTTATAGTAATATAAATTACAGTTAAAAGGTTGCTTAAAGTTCAATTAAATTTGGCGAAGAAACAGACAAGCAATGTCGAACTTAATTGAATTACCGTTTAGTTATAATTAGATTGTTTAGGAATTTGCCAATTTTGACAGCAAATAAACGGTTGGCGACTTAACTTCGATAAAATTTGAACACTGCTTGAATAGATTTTGTCTTCCTTGAAGGTTTCGGGTACATTTTTATTCTTAAACGATTGGTGGTACTTGGTCCAGTGGATTTAGGTTTCAATTACATCAACCCATTTATACGTCCCAATGCTGGGCACTTTTAGACAAGGTTTCAGGCCATAGTCCGCCACGCTGGCCCGAACACATAAATTCCGAGAGACTCAGACGTGCGAGTCCGGATTCGAACCCACGACCCTCTGCTTGAGAGGCGGTAGGTCAAACCATTAGGTTACCACGGCTTATGTAATAGGAATTAGGGTTGAATTATTCAATTAAGACCTATTCTCTATAATATTATTTTCCCTATTCTCTATTCTCTTTAGTCTTATTCTATAACAAGACAAGTATTACCATACTTGTCTTGTTATTATATTTAGTATTACCATACTTGTCTTGTTATACTCTCTTGTTATGCTCTACCGAGCTTAACTTCTAAGATCAGGATTGCATGTTTTTCAATCTTCGTTAGGAGAGGAACCCCAAGAAGAAGATGCATCCAGGATAGCGGTAGGTTCCTTTCCTTCTCAAATGGCCACTATATCACAAGGTCACCAATACCACCCATACTTCAAGCTAAAGTGATGAACCCAACAAACTAGGAATAAGCGACCTCTAGTTATTTGTTATTTTTAGGGGTCACACAAATACGAAAATGAGTGAACAGTATTTAATAATTTTGTAGTGTAATTTGAAACAAAGACTTTTTGTACATGATTATTAATTTCTCTAGAATCCTACAAAGGGCACATCGGCATGCAAACATAGATATCAACTGCGTGGATTCTCTCGGCCGTGGTGCGTTGACACTGGCTATAGACGGGGAAAACATGGAGATGGTTGAACTTCTTGTTATCATGGGAGTGCAAACGAAGGACGCACTGCTGCAGGCCATCAATGCGGAATTCGTGGAGGCGGTGGAACTGCTGTTGGAGCACGAGGAACTTATCCACAAGGAGGGGGAACCTTACGTAAATATGAAACCAATATGATAGACAACATTAAAACATTACTTATTACTTTTATTTAATACCTATCATCATCATCACCTCGAGCCTATCGCAGTCCACTGCTGGACATAGGCCTCTCACAATGCGTGCCATTGCGCCCGGTCCTCAACTTATTGCATCCATCTGCTGCCAGCAGCCCTTTGCAAATCGTCAGTCACTCAAGGACTCGCTTTCCCCATCGGATATCGGTTCTTCGACATATATGGCCAGCCCACTGCCACTTCAGCTTGCTTATTTTGCCAGGTATGTCGACAACCTTACCTGTCGGATAACCTCGTTCCGTACCTTGCCCTTCAAAGAAACTCCAATTATAGCTCGTTCCTTATCTCACTGTATGACTTTCAACTGGTGAACTAACCGTATCGTGAGTGCCCACGTCTCGGCTTCGTATGTCATGTTATATTATATTTAATAACTATGTTAGGCCGAAAACGCTCATTGACCGAGAAAAGCGTCCACAACATGATAACACTTGTTATGGATATTTCATAACAAGTGTGTTATTTATGTGGAGTTGTATTATTAAAATAGCCAGAAAGTGTTGTGGCTAACTCAAAAAGACCACAATACAAATTCGCGTCTTGGCTCTCATGATGTTTGACCTTTATGAATTAAATTTGAATTCTACTTTAGAGCGTTAGACGTCGATGTAGGCAGCTCTAGAATGTTGATACTTATAAATTAAATAATAGAAGGTTATATTTCTTTTAAAACTGCAATTAATTCCGTCCATCTACGTAACAGAGTTGGCAGAAGGCAGATCCAAGCACAGCGATGTTCCCTCTGGACATAACGCCACTGATGCTTGCGGCGCACAAGAATAACTACGAGATCATCAAGATTCTGCTCGATCGAGGAGCTACACTGCCCGATCCTCATGACGTCAGGTAATAAACCATACCGGTTAAAGTTGTCTTATACCAGTACAATAAGACAAGTCAAATAACTCAACAAAATTAAGCAATCAGCAGCTTGATTTTGATTGTCTCTCCCGATCGGAAACTGCGTCTTTTCCGAGTCGAGACGCGTAATTGCGATTCACAACTGCCGATCAGAAACTTTTGACATTTCTAATCGGAACAATAGTTGATTTAACAAACAAATTAGAAAGATATAATAGGAATCAGGTTCATCTTCAAGCTCGGAAACCCATTTGATTTCGAGACTCGGTTGGGCTTCTAGATTGAATGTATTCCGAATTGAATGCCTGCTGGAATTTCGCATCCCGATTGACACGCTGTAAAAATAAAAAACTGTGTTTTAATCCCAGGTGCGGTTGCGACGAATGTATCCGGCTGTCCACAGAGGACTCACTCCGTCATTCCCTCGCGCGACTTAACGAGTACCGAGCCCTCGCTTCGCCCTCCCTAATCGCACTGTCTTCAACCGACCCGCTTCTCACCGCCTTCCAGCTGTCCTGGGAACTCAGGAACTTGGCTTTTGCTGAACAGGTTTGTGCGATAGCTTTTTATAACATTTCAAACAAAGGAGGGCTTTTAATTTATTTTCTGTCTGATTTGCGAATTATTTATTAATATGAATAATTTGTTTATTAAATATCTTTGAATACTGGAGAAGTATTTAGATGTTGAACATTTAGTTTAGTGTAAAAACAATGGACTATGTCCTTTTATTAGTAGAACACGTATGCAGCAATCGATACTGCATTAGGATTTATGATGATCACAGTAGTTATTTATTTTTTGAATTTATTTCATCTTTCTATGTTGTACATATTAAAATAAAGCAAATGTGTCATTATTTAGATAGCCGTTAGTAATTTTTATAAATATTAAAAGTAATAATATAATAGTAAATTATTGTAATTGGTAATAAAATAGTAAAAGTAAAGATTTTTTGGAGATTGATGTAAAATTATGAATTAAATTTAACGTTGAACTAAACATATATTAACATAATACTATACAAAATCATTTATTCTGTAAAAAAAATCACAGAACAGTACCTATACACACACTATTATACTACAATAAATAATACTTTGCGACTACAACACAAGACCTAAAACAAATGAAAGCGCAACCTGCCTCATTATAATACAAATTAAT